GAGTTTTTCAGGATAAAAAAGAAATGGAATAGAGCTAAGCACAGGGAAAACCTGGTTCAGTCCGCTTTCCACCAGACACTGGGAGATGAATTCACCTTTCAGCAGGACAATAACCTAAAACACAAGGGCAAATATACACTGGAGTTGCTTACCACCACAACATTGAATGTTCCTGAGTGGCCTAGTTACAGTTTTTACTTAAATTGGCTTAAGAAATCTATGGCAAGACTTGAAAATGGTTGTCTAGCAATGATCAACAACCAATTTGACAGAGTTTGAAGAATTTTGAAAATAATAATGGGAATATTGTACAATCCAGGTGTGCAACGCTCTTAGAGACTTACCCAGAAAGACTCACAGCTGTAATCGCTGCAAAGTATTGACTCAGGGGTGTGAATACTTATCTAAATGAGATATTTCTGTAGTTCATTTTCAATATATTTGCAGAATTTTCTAAAAACATGTTTTTACTTTGTCATCATGGGGTACTGTGTGTAGATGGGTGAGAAAATAAATCAATTTAATCCATTTTGAATTCAGGCTGTAACAAAAAAATATGGAATAAGTTAAGGGGTATGAATCGTTTCTGAAGGCACTGTATCTCTTGCTCTAAAAATGTGGAAACAAGTGTACAGTCTTACTGTAGGATCCCACCATGAACAAATCCATACTGTGTACGGTTCATTATCTTTGGAGTCATTTGTAGGTACAGGCCATAAGACAATAATGTACATACTAGTTAGGACATAAAGATCAGCAACCTCAATTCTTACCCTGTTTTCCTCTGCTGTAGATTTGTTTTGTTTCTCCTTGTAAAGCAGTGTCTGAATGTGTAACTACAAACTGCTAACACATTTCCACTGCTTTCAGAGAAACCTTATCAACAACAAAAAGTATTTAAATTGGTGTTCTAGTTCAAACTTTGTTGTGCAATAGAATGTTCCATATTCCTGATAACGTTGTAAGCCTGGCAAGTTGTGCTATACAGCCATTTTAGTGAGTCTTCCCTCCAGTGGACTTACATGTTGTTAGCGACAGTAGCCCTTGGTGAAAGTTAAAACTGGGAAAGCTACAAAAGAAAATCTGTTTGTTGATGATGACAACATCTTCCTCATTCTGTGTAGGTCCCAGCATCTGCCCTAATACAGTCATTTATACTGCTGTATTTTCCTGAATGTCTAAATGTTTGGAGTATCATACCTGTGCATATCAGTTAAAGACTCTAAATCTCAGGATATCTTATTTGAAATGTTCTATCACAGCATTGTGTGTTAAAAACGCTATCTAGCAACATATTGCCACAAAATCTGCACAGGAAAGGTAAGCATGCACTTATGGTTATTTAAGTGTAGCCACTACATGAATTATAAGTGATCTCATGTAGTCCCAAATAACTACATACTAGGTGCTTTTTACACCTGTATTCCATACACTTAAAAAAAAAAAAAAGAAGTTCCTGTCCTTCAAAGAATGTATTCATGTATACATTCTGTGAATAGTAGGCCAATGTCATTAAAAGCCATTATCAGTAAGTTATGTATAAGTGATCTCTATACTGAGCACAGTTTGCTGTGTATGAGCTAAGATGAAAAGGTCAGAACAGGTATGTGTGGGCATATACAGTTGAAGTCAGAAGTTTACATACACCTTAGCCAACTACATTTAAACTCAGTTTTTCACAATTCCTGACATTTAATCCTAGTAAAAATTCCCTGTCTTCGGTCTGTTAGGATCACCACTTTATTTTAAGAATGTGAAATGTCCGAATAATAGTAGAGAGAATGATTTATTGCAGCTTTTATTTCTTTCATCACATTCCCAGTGGGTCAGAAGTTTACATACACTCAATTAGTATTTGGTAGTATTGCCTTTAAATTGTTTGACTTGGGTCAAACGTTTCGGGTAGCCTTCCACAAGCTTCCCACAATTAGTTGGGTGAATTTTGGCCCATTCCTCCTGACAGAGCTGGTGTAACTGAGTCAGGTTTGTAGGCCTCCTTGCTCGCAAAACACTTTTTAAGTTCTGCCCACAAATTTTCTATAGGATTGAGGTCAGGGCTTTGTGATGGCCACTCCAATACCTTGACTTTGTTGACCTTAAGCCATTTTGGCACAACTTTGGAAGTATGCTTCGGGTCATTGTCCATTTGGAAGACCCATTTGCGACCAAGCTTTAACTTCCTGACTGATGTCTTGAGATGTTGTTTCAATAAATCCACATAATTTTCCTTCCTCATGATGCCATCTATTTTGTGAAGTGCACCAGTCCCTCCTGCAGCAAAGCACCCCCTCAGCATGATGCTGCCACCCCCGTGCTTCACGGTTGGGATGGTGTTCTTCGGCTTGCAAGCTACCCCCCTGTTCCTCCAAACATAACGATGGTCATTATGGGCCAGAGGACATTTCTCCAAAAAGTAATGTCCCCATGTGCAGTTGCAAACCGTAGTCTGGCTTTTTAATGGCGGTTTTGGAGCAGTGGCTTCTTCCTTGCTTAGTGGCCTTTCAGGTTATGTCGATATAGGATTCGTTTTACTGTGGATATAGATACTTTTGTACCTGTTTCCTCTAGCATCTTCACAAGGTCCTTTGCTATTTTTCTGGGATTGATTTGCGCTTTTCGCACCAAGGTACGTTCATCCCTAGGAGACAGAACGCGTCTCCTTCCTGAGCGGTATGACGGCTGCGTGGTCCCATGGTGTTTATACTTGTGTACTATTGCTTGTACAGATGAACGTGGTACCTTCAGGCGTTTGGAAATTGCTCCCAAGGATGAACCAGACTTGTGGAGGTCTACAATTTTTTTGAAGGTAGGCCTTGAAATACATCCACAGGTACACCTCCAATTTACTCAAATGATGTCAATTAGCCTATCAGAAGCTTCTAAAGCCATGACATAATTTTCTGGAATTTTCCAAGCTGTTTAAAGGCACCGTCAACTTAGTGTATGCAAACTTCTGACCCACTGGAATTGTGATACAGTGAATTATAAGTGAAATAATCTCTGTAAACAATTGTTGGAAAAAATTACTTGTGTCATGCACAAAGTAGATGTCCTAACCGACTTGCCAAAACTGTCGTTTGTTAACAAGAAATTTGTGGAGTGGTTGAAAAATGAGTTTTAATGACTCCAACCTAAGTGTATGTAAACTTCCGACTTCAACTGTATCTATCTATCATGGACACATAATGTTTGTTCTGGGCGTCCCTCATTTGACGTACACTACCAGTCAAAAGTTTGGACACATCTACTCATTCAAGGGTTTTTCTTTATTTTTACTATTTTTTACATTGTAGAATAATAGTGAATACATCAAAACTATGAAATAACACATATGGAATCATGTAGTAACCAAAAAAGTGTTAAACAAAAAAATATATTTGAGATTCTTCAAATAGCTACCCTTTGCCTTGATGACATCTTTGCACACTCTTGGCATTCTCTCAACCAGCTTCATGAGGTAGTCACTTGGAAGGTATTTCAATTAACAGGTGTGCCTTCTTAAAAGTTAATTTAATGTGTTTGAGCCAATCAGTTGTGTTGTGACAAGGTAGGGGGGGGGGGGGGGTATACAGAAGTTAGCCCTATTTGGTAAAAGACCAGGTCCATATTATGGCAAGAACAGCTCAAATAAGCAAAGAGAAACGACAGTCCATCATTACTTTAAGACATGAAGGTCAGTCAATACGGAACATTTCAAGAACTTTTAAATTTTCTTCAAGTGCTGTCGCAAAAACCATCAAGCGGTATGATGAAACTGGCTCTCATGAGGACCAGCACAGGAAAAGGAAGACCCAGAGTTACCTCTGCTGCAGATAATAAGTTAATTAGAGTTACCAGCCTCAGAAATTGCAGCCCAAATAAATGCTTCACAGAGTTCAAGTAACAGACACATCTTAACATCAACTGTTCAGAGGGGACTGTGTGAATTGCTGCAAAGAAACCAGTACTAAAGGACACCAATAAGAAGAAGAGAGCTGCTTGGGTCAAGAAACACGAGCAATGGACATTAGACCGGTGGAAACTTGTCCTTTGGTCTGGAGTCCAAATTGGAGATTTTTGGTTCCAACCGCCATTTGTCTTTTGTGAGACGCAGTGTGGGTGAACAGATGATCTCTGCATGTGTATTTCCCACCATAAAGCATGGAGGAGGAGGTGTTATGGTGTGGGCGTGCTTTGCTGGTGACACTGTGTTTGTGATTTATTTCAAATTCAAGGCACACTTAACCAGCATGGCTACCACAGCATTCTGCAGTGATACGCCATCCCATCTGGTTTGGGCTTAGTGGGACTATCATTTGTTTTTCAACAGGACAATGACCCAACACACCTCCAGGCTGTGTAAGAGCTATTTTACCAAGAAGGAGAGTGATGGAGTGCTGCATCAGATGACCTGGCATCCACAATCCCCCGACATCCACCCAATTGAGATGGTTTGGGATGAGTCGGACCGCAGAGTGAAGCAAAAGCAGCCAACAAGTGCTCAGCATATGTGGGAACTCCGTCAAGACTGTTGGAAAAGCATTCCAGGTGAAGCTGGTTGAGAGAATGCCAAGAGTGTGCAAAGCTGTCATCAAGGCAGAGGGTGACTATTTGAAGAATCTCAAATATAAAATATATTTTGACTTGTATAACACTTTCTGGTTACTACATGATTCCATATGTGTTATTTCATAGTTTTGATGTCTTCACTATTATTCTACAATGTAGAAAATAGTAAAACAATAAATAAAGAAAAACCCTGGAATGAGTAGGTGTGTCCAAACTTTTGGCTGGTACTGTACATTGGCAAATTTTCCTCTGGACAAGCCCAACAAAGAAGCATGATGATGATGAGTCAATGGGAATATCTCAATTGCATTGAAGGAGAAGGTCAGAGGGGCAGGACCTCTGGCTTTCTCATCCAATGGGTTTTGAGAGTATGCAATTGAGATCTTCCCTATGTGAACCACTGGGGGTAGTTCATGTGAATGATGTCCAGGCTGTCTCTACCCTGGTGAACCTCAGTCATGTTTATGGTGGTGGGCAGCGACGTCTCCTGAAAAGGCCTCCACTGTCTGTACTGGCAGGAAGAGCCCCACCGCCCAGCGGGAGCCAAACACATCACTCAGGTTGTCCTTCCAGGAGCTGCGGCTCTCCACCAGCTGGCCTCGCTTCATCTGGCAGTAGGTCTGCCCCCGCGCTACCAGCAGCACCTGCTGACAGCAGAACCCTGCACACACCAGGCCGATGCCCAGCCACACATACAGCATCAGCACTAGGAAAAACTGCAGACCTGAGATAACTCCTGATGGGAAGATAGGGAGGAGAAAGAAGAGCACTTGGTAAGTTCATTAACTGAATATCCTTACCATAAACTTTCAAGTGCAATATGTGAAACTCACCTAGGAAGAGGTAACCAGTGGAGAGGGGCAGAAGGGTTAGGAAAGTCAATGGGTTCTCAAAGGAGATGTTGTATTCCACAGTTAGAAAGGCCACACCAAGAACCAAGGAGTACAAACAAGTGCATGACGTGTAGATGCAGAACATGATGAAGTATCGCATGTTTTTGTTGCCAATGCAGTTTCCAGTGAAAAAACAGTGGTGGTCCCTCCTGAGTATGACTTTCTTACAGAGTTTGCAGAAGTGGCGACCGTTTAGGAGGTAGTGGGCGTCTATTTTATCCGAGCAATCTGCCGAACATGCAGAAACCACGGTCTCATTTGCGCTCTCAGCTGGGTACTTTATAGTCATGACATAGTTACCTAAAGCGTTCAGCATCAGGTATAGGAAAACGGCCGTGTGAATCACAGTTGACGCCCTCAGTGAGATGCCCGGGCTTTGAAAAATCGTTGGGATGAAAAAGCAGAAGTGAAAAATGAAGGTTACCGCTGTGGCTGAGAAAAAGTATGCTGGGGCGACAGCGTTGAGGAGTCTTAATTTAAACATCCTGATTATCATTCCTGTGATAAAATGGAGACGAGCGTTAGGCTACTTATAACATTACTACAGTATTGTGTAACTGGGTAGGTGTACACAAGGCGACAGTGGTGCTGAAAGGACAGCTCCTCTGCGGATAGGCCTATAAGCAAAGTGCAGTAACTACGAATTTTGTAAAATAAAATATTTGATCTGTTGTAATGACAAGGTTAATTATCTGATTAATGTGGTATTTAGTTTCCTGACACAATAACAATCAGCCAATCAGATTATATTATGAAGTACCAGAAATTGCTTTCTGTCTAGACAGAAAAATACTTTGAAGTTAGATTTTGCTGTTACATTTTTTACGTAGTTACTGCACTTTGCCTTTGTAGGGAGCTCTATGCATAAAAGTAGCCCATATATGTAGCCTATGACATCGATTATTATGGAGGCTCAATGACACAAATAAGATTAAAAAGTAGGATTTGGATTAAACAGAATTACATAGACATCTTGCCGAAATTAACAGCTGGCACTCCTAAATTAGCTAATCTGGATCTGCAAATCTCTAAAAACAGATGATACCACCAACAAGATCTTGTTCTCTATAGAAAAACTACAGAAACCCAGTTCACAATTGTGGCATCCACCCCCTGTAGCCTATTGTGTGCTTATATTTTGACCAATGAAATCAAAGATAACGAAGGGGATAGCCTAGTTCACATGTGCTGTCGGACATGAGAGATATTGTGACTGATGCTCCATATAGAAAAAAAGACAAAGGTTGCTTGCTGCTGTCACTGTGAATGGTTAGAATTCCTTAATGACACTGATGTGAAATCACAAGGTTACCGTCTTTAATTAGCCTAAACATGGAAGATACTGTGATATTTTTTCAGTGTTTGGCAGAATCGGTGGTTCAGTACAGTATACAGTATATTTGCAAGGCACATTAAAATAATGTGAAAGGACTTTATGCGAGTTATTTCCCCTATGTGCTTATAGAACCATTGAATAGGCTACAAGGTCCATGGTTATTTGGAGAGATGGAAAACACAAATTGCAGCTTAGTTGTGTCCGTAGGCTATGTTACCTGAACAATCGAGGTAACATGAATGTAGGCTACAGAGGATTCAACAACAGCTTTCCCTTCCAAGCACGAGCTACCGGCCTACTGAGACATACTGTACCTGTCGTCGGCTCTGTTGATTCCGAGGAGCTGTCCTTTCAGCACCTAAGCGCAATCCTCATGTGCGCAGGCAATGGCAATAGATAACTCATTCAAAAAACGAAGAGCTCTTGTGCTGTCAAGACGATACTTAATGAGCTTGCTCGTTCATTCTGCGATGTTGCTGGATTATCTAGCACCGTCTGTTGGCGTGGATGCGGTCATAAGGATAGATGACAACCATAGAGAATGATAGAGGCCTCTAGTTGCCCAAATTCTATTTTAGCATGGGCAGCGCCATTGAGGGCTTCCACCATGCTTCCGCCATTTAACAGTCGTCAAAGTAGTCAACTGGGTGGGGATTCCTATAGGTTGAAGCATCAATGGCACTGCCCATGTTGTCAGAGACGCTATAGAAGCACATATATAAAAATGAGTCCTCTATCTATCTCTATGAGGACAACCTTACGCTGTCATATGCTGTTGAACCATTTTGTTGGCAATACCGCGTTTAAATGGCCATGAGATTATATGATCTGCTCTCTGTTCTCGGCATAAGTAATTGCCGCATGATGTTTCTGTCAATGTAATCTTTGACAATATTTTACTGGATGTCTTTAGCCTACTAGGCTACACATTATTTTGTCTGCGCAAGTCACTTCCAGCGCAGGTCTGTCACAAAAATAATTATCCAGCAGGTGGCGATGATGCTTCTTCAATGAGTATTCAACCTCCGACTCCGAGTGTGGCAGTGGTCTAAGCATGATTAGATGCATCTACACTTGTATAACGTTAACTTTCCAAACATACAGAGTAGACAGGCAGTAGACTACGAATAGGATATTGCTCAATTCCTATTATTAAAACCGAGTTCTTATATACTGGCCAATGTTATGTCATATTAACACATTAAAAGGTGTGTAGGCTAATGATGGACCCGCCATTCCACAATTTCATTAAGTTGTGAAAAAAGTGGACCGTCATAGCCTATAATATTGAATAATATTCCTTCATGTAAAAATGCAGTCAAAACAATAAAAGCTGGTCTATACTGAAACACGTTCGTTCCATTATTTTGGGCAGGTGTCTTATTTACAGACGGCCCCTGAGCAGGGAGTTTCTCCTCTTGTTTCTTGTGACTGATGAAAAAATAAGCATCCTCATCCCTACCGGACGCCAGCGATGAGGACCATTTGAGAGGTGAGCCACATATTCATTAGGAATTGTATCCAATGTATGCTTATTCATATGATTAAATATGGGAAAATGTGCACGCTAATTATGAGGTTAGCGGTGGCTGATTTTGAAGTTATACATCTTTTTTTTTAAGTGGGCGGATTTACTGTTTTGATAGTACCCTACTGCAGTGAACAGCCACTACGTTAGTTAAGTGAACAGCTATAAAAACAACGGGAATCACACCGGAAGGCGAACAACCCGTCTCTTCATCCAAGCCAGGAGTATCCACGTTGCCCTAAAAGGTTTGATGTGAAGCATTGGAGAATTTATGTTGGAGACCTCAATCAATATGTAGGCTATTGGTTCATTCGAGTAACTTGATGTAGTGACTCGGCCTGTCACCGCAGACTGCTCTCTTATCTTAAAGCATAAAGAATATATTTAGTTACGTTGCGTGTTCGTTAGATCAGTATTGGTTATTGTGCAGCGATCCGTCGGTGAGTGCGACACAAGGTACGTGGCAGGGATTTACAACCTGACAAACACACCATACTACACCGCCGGATGCATTGTGTTGTTGGTTATTGCCCATGGACTGCCTACACAGTTTGTCACTCTGCTCACTTTGGATATATTTAGGTTGAATGCCCATAGCCTTCTGAATAAAACCAGCATCGGTAACATCAGCTGGTTCTTCTAAGATGTCTGATAAATGTGGGTTATATCTAGCTAGCTAGCTATATATATGCCTTGAAAATTATTTGATGCTTGCAGTCACACCTGGCACAGTGGTTTACAGAATGAATGGACTATAGCTGGAGTGTGCAGTGTTCTTCCTTACTCAAAGAAATATAAACTGTAGGGATTTGTCTGTAGTCTGTCCATGGTAGGCATCATTCATGGTCCATTGTTTCTACTACATGTGATACGCCAACTCATTGGTCTTTTACAGGGGAGTGTATCCATGTCTAATCCAGCAAATAAAGATGATATCTCAAAGCCAAGTCAAGATACCTAAGAATACCCATGCTGCGTTAAATTATGTAAATTCTGCATAATGTAAGCAGTTGAACCTGTTGAATCAATGTTCAAAAGCTGTTTTGTTTCTATTGTCAGTGCTATTGAGCACAATGCAGTATATGAGCTTCTTCACTTTAGCCTAAACTCAAGCTATTTTATTATTTTGACTAATTTGAAGCTCATGATTTACAGTTGGTCCATTATGCTCAGGGTAGCCTGCAGCAAACAGTTAGTCTGCTATACATTTGTGGGATTCATAGTTTTTAAGGAAATTGTCCTTTGAAATGCCAGCTATAATTGGTTTTTGACTTTATGTTGAATGAAACATTATCTGCTTCTGTTTCAACCAGTTAGATTGTATTTTGGATGCCAGTAGGCAGTAGCCTATATGCATAATCTCACATAGAAAATTACCTGTACTGACCTTCCCAATCATTCAAAATGGCGAGAGCTCTTGTTGATATCATTGGCAAACAATATTGAATGTCTTAATAGAGGAGCTGAGAGCTCATTCAGAGTGTTGAAATGTAAGGTTGAATGACTATGGTATCTGCAGTACCTTATCCATTGTTTTGCCAATTAAATGTCACAAACCAGGTCTCTGATGGAGAAGGAGCAGATGATGAATGTTGCCATTGTCATGTCCAAGCAACAGAGGCATGAATATTTGATCAGACTGTTGGCTGAGATTGAAAGTTGATATCTCGCCCTATCCCAGCATGTTGCATCTGGCCTGGTTGTGTAGGATCTGTAGCCTGTGTTGGCGACAAGGAAGGGGGAGTCTGCCTGCCTCATGTTTCTGAGTTTGTCTGTATTTTGTGTAGGCAGGAAATGACAAGTGAGCTAGCACATTGGAAGCACGAGAAAGACAGTCCCCATTCATGCTTCTGGGTTTACATGCTTTCTGTATTTTCAGCACCACATGTGACTGGACAGCTAAAATCAATTGGGCAACAACTGCACATCATGATCTAGAGATCAGCCAATCCGTGTCATGCAAAAACAGGGAGGGGTGTAGCCTAGGGAGAGTCCATCTTGCACCTGAGTCCTGGCCTAGGCCCTGAGCGGTAATGTGATCTGGGAAGAAATAGATATTAAAATATTTCACAAGAGGCTAACACCCTCTGATTAGCAATAAGCAGGCATTATTAGCCCCTCTGTTCATTTAGAGAGAGCGAGAGCAGGTGCGTGTGTAGACAGGCGCGCACGTGAGAGAGAGAGGGAGGGAGTGCGTGTCGATTGCATCAGATGTGAGATTCTGATATATATTACTGTGACTCATCTCCTCCAGTCATATTTTCAAAGAGCATTACTCAGCCATGTGAGCAGAAATATTCCCCCCAAAACTAACCTAAATCTTTTTCACAAACATCTTATTGATATGGCTGTGTTTTGGTTGTGAAACTTTCTGCTATGCTCTTCTTGGTATAGCTAATACCATATCTGTGCTTATTGCTTTGTTTGGATTAGTCTCCCTGTGGGATCATTTTTAGCAGTAGAACGCCTGCTGTTAAGTTTCATGCCATTCGGCAAGGGTCCTCAGGGACTCCTTCCCACACAACCCTACTCACAGTTAGCATGATTACTGACAGAGGGGAGCAACAACACTATATTATATGCCTACAAACCAGCAATGTGTTTTTCTGCTAAATGCCCT